GCAGTACTGCATTTTAATTTTAGAAAGCGCAAATCCACTTATGAATTCTAAAAATTATTAAGACTGCAAAAGCGCAAATGAAATATTTAGGTCTGCAATTAGTGGATTTGCGGTTTAGCGGGCTGGTGCCCACCACTGTGCTCAGTAAAGATGTCAGAAGGATGGACAAAGTTATTTATCTGCTGAGTCCTCATTAACTCTCATGGTCCACTTCTGAACCAGAGACATCAGAAGTGTCTCACCTGGGCTGAGGAGACAAAGAACTGGACTGTTGATCAGTGGTCCAGTATCCTCTTCTCAGATGAAAGTATGTCATGTCATCTGTACATCAAGGTCATAGAGGCTGGAGGAAGAGTGGAGAGACACAAATCCACAATTCTCATCTTCATCACAGTCAGTGAGGATTTGGGACATGTCCACTGGTGTTTGTCCTCTGTGTTTTCTGCAGTCCACAGTCAACACAGAGACTTTTAGAGAACTTCAAGCTTCTTTCTGCTGACAAAACATGGTGACAGCTTCATCATTTCTCAACATAAGATGATCTTAAAACTCGATATGCTTTCCTTCAACAAATGCTAGGCCGTTTAATATAAAGAATCAAACATAACATTTGTTAGAATAAGTGATTCAATTTGATTGGATATGTCATTTAGTAACTAATTTTTCTTTTTCTCCATCCAGGAAAATACCTCAATCCACCGACCTGTGTCCAGCTGCAGCCAAGTCCATCACGTCCACATCTCCTGTCCCCTCAGGCACAACATCCTCTTCTACGTTACATTTTAAAGTTCGTACAGGAAGTCATATCAGCTCCTCCCTTAAAAATACCTCCTCCAGTTACGGTGCAGGGAGGCCACCCATCATGTGTGATAACTCGAGRAGCGGTGCTCATTTCGTGCCTCTGGGAAAGCCTGCTGGAGGGCAACAAGCAGGCGCAGGCAGACCCAAGAATCCGGCGGGACGCCCGAGCAAGCAGATCGGGAAGCTTCGGGAGGAGGCTGCCGCCGCTGCCCACCGTAAACGAAAAGCCCTATCGCAGGAAGGAGAGCACTCAGGCCCAGAGAGGAACTGCATCCTTCTCCAAGACCGCSGTCGAGCCTCTTCCTCCTCCTCTTCATCGTCTCCTTCCTTTTCCAAAGTCCCCACTTCATCTTTTCTTGCACATGGACAGACTAACGGCACCCTCTGCCCCAGCAGTAAAGCCCGTGCCCACACTTCCCTCTTAAACTCTCACTCCTCTGCTGCCAAGGCAGTGTGGACTTACAAACGGACACACCCTGCTTTGGTCCATTCCTCACCACGTGACCCTTCCTCTGCCACTAACTCTCACAGCCGCTCCGGCTCGGGGGACTCAGGACTGCATGGACACAGCAGTGGGAGGGGGCTTGAGCACCAGGGACTGGTCAAAAAACGTAAGGGGGGTGGCATACAGGTGCATTCACCTTCATCCAAACCCTCAGCACAGCGCCTGCCTCCCTCCTCCTCCAGCTCCAACACGTCGCCCTCTCCACGCTCCAACTTCTACCCCTGGAAAGAGGGTAAAGGTGGGGGGCTCGCTGGGGGCGTAGAGAAGAAACTGGGCACACAGAAGGTAGGTTTACTAAAAGCAGGATTAGGCACACAGTGACTCCAAAACTATTCCTAATCATATTTATTTATTTGAATATATTCATTTATTTCATAAAAACAACAAAAAGTCTATTAATAAAACAAAGTAAATCAATTATTGATTGAAACGTGTGCAGAAATAAGAAAATCTTATATCTGCCCCTTATTAAAAAAACTTCAAACAACAACTTACACTTGAACAAGCTCCATATTTGAGAAAAGAAAACCAAAACTAAAATAAAAATAAAAACAAGAACAAAACATCAGGAATCATACAATACATAGCATCRTACTTTCTCAATAAATATAGCTTATTTATACACCTGAAATGGGAGAGAATTATCATCATTAGTGTTTATGCCAGTCTCTGTGTTTGTTTAAATTTATGAAGCACTGAACAGATTTAATGATACACTGAAAGCAATCATCAGATAAACATTTACAACTGATGAACTTGTGCAACCAACCTGATTCAAGATGGCTGCTGAAGCATTTATAGCAACCTAAAATTTATAGTTAAAATTGACCTTAAAGGGATCCCCGATTAGTTGTAACATTAGACTTTATATGATAAACATATACTTTTACTGTAAAATAAAGACTGTAAAAATACTGTAGGATGTTAAGTTTTTATAATTTTTAAACTAAAAGTTTAAAAATATATTACATGGACGGGGCCATTTTATTTACACACAAAGCATTCTGGGTAAATGATGACATCAACTAGGTCATCGNAGAAAGTGCAAATCTGCTTATGAATTATAAAAATTAGTAAGACCTCTAAAGCGCAAATGAAATATTTAGGTCCGCAATTAGTGGATTTGCGCCTTAACGGGTTGGTGCCCACCTCTGGGCGGGCTGTGTGTACCAGAAACGTGGTCAAAAATCATCCCCATCACGTAGTAAGAACACACACACGCACACACACCCACACACAAACATACATTCCTTCTTCTGGTCATTTAAAATGCTAAACAACCTCCTCCATGAATGTCACAGATGTAAGAATCAGTACATTCTGCAAACCGTCCTGTTTTATGTGCAGAACGTTGTGTCATTTTCACTGTAAACACAAACGACACGGCTGTTTTATCAGAATTATGTGTTTTTAAGCGTTTTAATTACAGCGTCTGTATTTTCATAAACTGACAGTAAACTAATTAGTTGGCAGCAGAATACAACATGTAAAATTGTGTTGTTAAAATTAAGGTAGACATTCGTGTCAATCATGGGTCTTTTTTTTTTTCATTTTTTTACTAACGCTTAACAATCCATTGGTTTTAAGCACATATATTCAGTTTTTGAACAAAAACAAATGCAGTAAGAAATGTGGTAAACATGTTATGTTGTGTAACACTCTGATTATAGAAAAACAGCGTTAGTCCCAAACGTCAGAAAATACATTTAGCTAATTATCACTCAGACCCAATTTGTTACYACTCTGCCTTGCATCAAGGAGCCACCAGGTTTGGTAATTTGGAGATTGAAATCTAAGTTAGTGAATAACAAAATCTGATTAGAATGTTGGAYTGATGAATCTCCTAACCTTTAGGCTGAAAAGTTGCAGTTATTCTTGGAGCATAGTAATTCTCACACCCTTTTCAGAGTCTGCTTGTATGGAGGACCGAAACTGACATAATTATAAATACATGTAGAAATAATTAAATGGCTTGATAAATTAGTAATTAAGTAATAATGTGGCAATTATTGCATAAAAAACATCAACAAATAAGAGCGTAACTAATTTATTTGACTACACAGTGCAACGTACATTAATATTGTATCATTTTCAACCTTATTAATTTAACATTATCACAAGATCCGGTGCCCCGGCACAAACAGAGCAATGTTGTATATGCTGTTAAGTGCCAGGAGGACTGCGACCAGTTATACATCGGGGAAACAAAGCAGCCACTGTTCAAAAGAATGTCCCAACACAGACGAGCTACATCTAATGGACAGAACTCTGCAGTTTTCACTCATTTACAGGCCAGCGGTCACTCTTTCAGAGATGAGGATGTTCTCATTCTTGATAGAGAGGAACGTTGGTTTGAGAGAGGAGTAAAAGAAGCCATTTTTGTGAAGAAAGACCGTCCATCATTAAACAGAGGTGGAGGCCTCTGTTTTCAGCTGTCCCCCTCCTACAGTGCTGCTATTGCCAGTATCAGTCCACCCCAGTTAACAATAGGTGTTAATTAGGTGTGAACGATAGCCATGTGATGTGAGTATCAGTCACCTGGAGGCAGTGCTTAAAAGCCTGAATTTTGCCTGAAACTCTCAGACTGAAGAAGTCTCTTGGADGAGAGACGAAACGTTTCATTAGAGAAGAACCCGTCCAGAGGACCTATACAATTTTTTTCCTTTTGATTTTTTACCTGGATTACTGAGATGCATCAGGACAACATTATCACAATTACTTCATTTTCCTTTTATTTCAATCATGTATTTTTTATTAATTTTACCTTTTGATTTCATTATTTATTACATAATGAAATCAAAAAGTAAAATTAATAAAAAATGATTGAAATAAAAAGTGAACTGTAGTAATTGTGATAATGTTAAATTAATAAGGTTGAAAATGATATAGTACAAATGTATGTTGCACTGTATAGTCAAATAAATTAGTTACGCTTTTATTTGTTGATGTTTTTATGCAATAATTGCCACATTATTACTTAATTACTAATTTACCAAGCCATCTATTTCTTTTATCAAGCCATTTAATTATTTCTACATGTATTTATAATTATGCCAGATACGGTCCTCTATATGCTTGTGCTCGTGAGGCAATAATCAGTTCACTTCCAGAATAGTATGTAAAATCATCTTGAGAAATTGTCTGTGATGTACTTTTGTCTTGCAGTAAATCCTTTGTTTTGATCTGGTAGGTATAAAACTCATTCWGTGAATCCAGATGTCTGGTTCTACAGAGAGAGAGAAAAAAAAAACTTACCCCGTTCACTCTTTGTGATTACAAATCCCTTCCAAAAGCTTCAGGTTTCTTTGATGCTTAGGAAAGAAAAGAAAGGCCTTTAGGTGTGGCTGAATGATGCAATATTGAGCTGTTCTTCCTCCTGTCAGAGGGGGAAGAATAAATGGGGAAATCAGGATTTAGGGAAAACTAGACAGGGACTTCGCAACATATCCGTGTGTGAAGAGGAGGTAAAAATGGCAGATGCTCCGAGTGTTTCTGTTTCTTTCTTTCTCCCTATCCTCCCATCTACCTTTGTTGCTCTGCTCATTAATCAGCCCTTTATTAAACAAAAGGAGCTTCCAGCACTGCCTAAAAGCTGCATAGATAATCTTGACATAAAGACAGAGTATTTACCCTCCTTACCCTCTACTCCTGCGGACCATTCAGCATGGTAATGAAGGGAAAAGCTCTTGCGATACATAAAGACTGAGTGAAAATACTCACCTTGGTAAATATTACGTACAGTTTTCTTTAATGGTCTTTGAGCTATTGTGCCTCGGAAAGCCAAACATCTGCTGCCAAGTGCAGTGTACGTGGAGCGAGTTGATGTGCGTGGACAAAATGAATGGTGAGGTGAATTATCCACTGCAGAGAGAGTCTGGAATTTAATTACTGCTGCTTGACACTGACTTTTTTTTAAGGACATGAGCAATTTCGAGGGCCATTGTCTAACTACTCGCAGGAAAAGCAATTCAACCAAGCAGGGCAATAAAGCATCCTGCAGCGGAAAAAAAAAAAAAAAAAAATCTGGGCCAGGGTGTACTTTCTTAGAACAACAGACAATTTAGAAGTTTGAGTTTACTACTCCATGGCAGGGGCAAAGGCACTGAAGTATGTGAGAAATACCGTGTAAGGCTTTGATGCGTATAACAATGACAATGAGCCATCGAGCAGGAAAAGGAGTCCTTAATGGGTACCTGTCCGCCCAAGGGACCACACTCGCTTCGTATTGGTCATCCATTCACAAGACAGCAGTGCATTCTCCTAACCGCCAATCAGCCAATTACAGGTTCCATAACAGGAGACCTGCTGGCAGAAAGGCAGCCTTTACAAGCTCTGCATCTCAGGCAGAGGAGACGACCCTGTCACGGAATCATAATTATGATGAATATGGCCGCGGGTTTTACGGCAACGCCGCTTTTCCCTGGTAATGCGAGGTGGGCGTGAAACAGCCATTCACAGTGACCAGACAGCGTGACCTTTTGCGAGACTTTGGAAAACAATGTAAAATACAGTAAAGGGTTGAGGAGGGCATGAAAAGAAATGTAAATCCAGATGTTGTGAGCATTCATTGTGGTAGGTGAAAGAGAACGCTGCCTCTCGCCGGCTGCTAATGAAGCCAGATATGAGGGAGGAAAAAAGGGCAGCGAGAGAGAGAGACRACATCGTACTGCTTCTGCTTCAATACGCAATTTTTATAGAGCGGCTCCAGTCTGTTTTGTCCTGCAATTATTAATCTGGCCATTTCAACAAGCCARTTCTAATCAGCATTAGGCTGCTTGCCGATTTGGCATGAATCCATGTCTATTTGATTGCTACTGATCACAAAGACTCCTCTGTACATTATCTCTAAAGTCAAAGGTGCCAAACATTCGGTTTTTCAGCATGTTCGAATCTCWGCATCACAGCTTTAATGGGAACTGTGAAAATACACAAGAAAAACATGGATAATATGTGCCTGATCGTGTTAGGACTGTGTAACTTGTGACTTTATAAACTTGYGAATTGAACTTGTGAATTTGTAAARCTGTCGTCAATTAGAACCTTTSCTTCTTATTCTCAATATACTCCTAAACCTTTCAAGGCAGGCATCCTCTTATGGCACGATATCAAGGCCATAATTAAGACTGTTGCACAGCCAGCGRTTGCTACATCCCTGTAGCTGGAGGCTATATCTGTTCCTAAACCAGCTATTGATCTGATTAATGATAGGCTGGCACTGCTAACTGAGTAGCCAGCACTGGTAAATGAGAAGGAGACTATTTATTTGCATTAGCATCGGAGAGGCT